ACTTGATTATCTGCACCTGATCCCGATGAAAACAAATTATGCAATGTTTGTGTAAAATCTAGCGCTTTATGTATTACGGAATAAACCGAGTTTGCCTTATGCTCGTTGATAAAGTCCTATCGAATCGGTCAGTGACATTGAGCTCTATGTTTAAAAAATTCCAGAGAAGCGTACAAGTAAACAGTCCGAGATCTTCACTCCACACCACTCGAATAAATGAGAAATAAACAAGGCTCCTAAAAAAGAAAGTAAACATTTGTTTACCGTCTTGATAGCCAAATCATTCCGACACTTACAGGGGCCACGATGACTAGATTAATGGGTGTGCATTAGGCAGTAGTGAGTTCTGACAAGTTCAAGATGTGAGCCAACAATCTATGCTGCTGGCTGCTTGACTGGGTTTGTGAACGAAGTTCAAAGTTCTTGTGACTAGGTACCGTGTTGCATTACATGAGATAAGGAGAGTGCCGGAGGAATGGAGAGACCATACATATCCACAATTGAACCAGTTAAATTGTGGAATCCTCGTCGACCACCCCTAATCTGCAGACATCTAGGAATATTAGTCAATGCTAACAGTCGTTGCGTACAGTGTACTCAAAAAACTGACCATACTATCCTTCGAAATCAAGACGAGGTGAGGGACTAACAGTATTTGTTTTATCCACCATTTACTAGGGGGGTTTTAATGGAAAAAGACAGGGCGAAAAGCTTGAGGGTCCCCTGCAAAAGAATGCGAAGAAGGCAAATTCCTCCTTTCTCGAGATCTTGACCAGTTGCCCTTTAAAACACCACCTTCTCTCACAACAGAAGCATTTGCAGCTTTAGCGCCCAAAACCGCAGAGCACGTGTTTAAAGGCGTCCTGTCCTTGAATAACGCTTCTGAGCCTTACTAACCCTAGTCCAGCATGCAGGCATGACAGGCACTTTGGAAAATCGATGAGAAAGTGCCTGCAGTTTGAAATGACCGAAAAGTGGACATGCCTGCGACGCCACCAAAATGTCCATAATGTGAACTATGGAGTAATCGCTGTTTTTTGGTTTGTTGTAGGCTGTATGCGCTAAAAAGAGACTGTCAGCACAATGCGACTGAATCAGAATTTTGTCAAGAATGCACAGCACTTGACGGCAGACTACTGCCGGCAAAATCGGAAGCTTATTTTGGCCTGCGACATGGACGAGACCCTTCTTACTGAATCTGATGACGAACAACACGTGATCATACGGCCAAAGGCCCTCTACATGCTCAAAAACCTCCGAGTTTACTACGAACTCTGCCTAATTACCTACTCCACCAGAGACCGAGCTAGACAGATCCTGAATATGCGCCTTGATCCAAATGGCAAGCTATTTAATGGTAGGGTTCTTTGCCGGGAGGATGTAATGGCCGGATTTACCAATAAGCAGGAGGCCTTTTTTGCGCACCTCCCACAGGACCATCGAAGAACTCGTGTCACTAAGGTGAGACAGGGTCTTCACGGGGGGACAATTCGTCCCCCAGCCTGGCCCTATGTCGTCATCCTGGACGATTTCCCGGCCGCGTGGTCAAACCTTGCCAGTTGTATACCAATAAGGCCGTTCTTTGTTGGTGCAGCCGCAGTTACTGCGGTTTCTGGAAGACCCATGCCAAAGCTTCTTGCCGGTGAATGCGGTTACGTATTGAGCGTGCACAGATTTCTCTGTAAAATTCATGCTATCGTTTTCCCCAAACACAGTATTCAGAGTCTGCCCTCAAATGAAACAGCTCAGACTGCAGCAGATGGGCAAAAGAGGGAGAAGAAACCGCTGGTCAAAACGAAAACAACTACGTCGCCGACCGCCTATGCAACTCTTCTCAATTTGCGTCGACGTATAAACTCAAATCAACGATTTCGGAATCTCTGTTACCTAGATCCTGGCCATATGCTTAACCTTGACACTAAGCCTGTTGGTGGTTATGGAGAACGTAGAGTTCAGTCGCTGTATGCCCAACGCATACCAATTTCCTCGTTTGAGAGAAAACTTACGTGAATCATCGACTCTGTTTTCAAGACAATGCTGACAAATTGAAAGCTTTTCCGTTGAGAAGACGTATTTCCACCGTCTGTGTAAAATGTGTCTTCCCATTTTAACGCAGTCATCTTGAACCCTGTCGCATGCAGGAATTCAATGGATGAATGAATGTTTCTGTTGCATTTCATTACTTGGCGATCTGGAATATTTGTGAAATCACGCAGTGGATTATTTAAAATGAGGATTTGCGAAATTGTGGCTACTCATGGCTACGTTAACAATTAAAGTAGTCATTTTTGTTAAGTTGTTAATTTTCCCAATCACACGACAGCCCATAGCGCACACTGCCATTACCCCTTGAGTAAATTCCATCACCGGCAAAAAAGTTCATTTTATTCTAGCTGATTAGAGCTGATTTATAAAGAGTAAACATGCCGGCCAACCGGAAGGCTTTCGTATGGCAATTCCCCAAAATGCAGCTAAGGAGCAATCTAAGTCAAACTATAAGCGAGTCGAAGCAGTTACGACAACTTCCAATATCGTAGAAATTCCAAAAGTTTACTCCACTAACCGTATCGATACACAGAGGTGCACACACTGAACGCTATTTGGCATTTTCAGGTTTTAACATGGCACAGAACCTCTACAACTTGCGTTGGAGTTCCGATCATCGCAGACTGCCGATAATCCCCTGTCGGTCATCTAGGAGCAACGCTAAACACCACAAGAAGGCGCCAGAGTCGATGCTTCAACTATCCGGTTCTAATTTAACTTCTTCTAAAGTGCAGTACCTTACTCTCCTACAATACGCTCTCGCAGCCTAATCTTTCGGTTTCCGTCCCCAAATTTCAGTTTATTTGGCGAGGGTAGCAGGCAGTGCAATTGAAAACCCTACTGCTTACCTGCCGGTGCGCCACATATATTTGTACATGCACACTTAAATGATGTCACTTTCGAAATAGTTTTACCAATCTATGAACAGCATTGTTTTTTACAAATAACTCTTGTCTAGAGTTTTTGTTCAATTTAAAACTGTCAAGAGACAACAGGGGAGACATATAATTATCCAAGCGTTCTGTGACGAGCTGTGGAGATGTCGCCTCCACGAATGATAAAGGAAGATTAGCCCATTAATCTATGGCTCAGTGCGTGAAGAACTCAGAACGGAGGTTGAGCACAAGCATTTTCAAGCACAGCCTTACTGCGTATCTACGGAGAGTATCGGCTGATTGAGTGCGCTTGAGCGATAATAGCGAAGGTGTCGGCTGATCCGTAGTAACATTTCATTTCGACTGTCACCGTCTTGCGGATGAAATATTACCGGGCCGTGGTTAATAGGAGGCCTTGTATTCGTGAAATGATACCGATCAGTTGAACTGTGACCTCTAAGTCATGTGCTTCTTTCATATATGCTTTGGTAAGCTACAGTCGAAGAAATAGGTCTAATTCCTATTATGAAGAAGTAAGACGGTGTGGGACAGCCGCCCAAGCGTGGGACGCACGCGTAAATTCCGACAACCAATCAGCGTGAGCTACCTTTGCTCACGCATACAGACCAATCAATGACAGGTCAAACATTCGAGGCTCTTCCCTACGAGGGGATTCTCGCGCAAGTAATGGTCAATCCACGACTGACACGCCAAAGAATGGAATGCTCTAGAGCGCCCAGGATTTCAAATAAATAAGACGATTTCTGTGAGAATAGCGAGTTTGTACCCAGAAAAAATCCCCCTCCTCCTCCTCAAACTTCCCGATTCCCCCAGGTGAACCCAAACTGGTCCTAACCACATCAGCTCATAGTATTCAGTAGTTTGCCCTTCCAAGCCTTATGTTTGCCTCGTTTTGCATGAACCCAGTGCGTGCTCGGTAGGCAAGCGATGCAATGTAGGAAAGAAAACTTGCTAGGCAGCTGGAGCCTACCCCGAATTCTGCCACTGATAAACTATACGCTATAGCGTCTAAGTAGTGGGTGTATTCGGAGCACTAAAATCATCAGCTCGAATCCCAAGTTGGGAGTAAAAGGCAGAAGTCATCAAAATGAGGGCCTTATTTCTTCTGAACTCTGATTTGCTGCTTCAGGCAGCAGTGGCCACCGGCGAAGCCAGGGCTGGTGTTGACTGCATTCAGTCGTGCTCGAGGGTGATTGTAAGTGTGAGATGTGGTAATGACAGCTGCTTTTAAATGACAGTGAAAAGAGTTCAAGTGGTTTGCTACTGGTGTGTTGCAATTGTCCGAGGGGTGGCGTATTCAAGTGGCCCTTTGGCAGACGTGCCTTTTTGGACGCACGCATACGCTCACATGTGTATGAATAAGCTGAGGTCAGCTGTGAGGAGAACCATGCTTTGAAGGCGCGCCTGTTAGTCAGCTAGATTTTCTCAGTCATTTAGGAGGTTTGGCAGATATGCTTAATTTTAATTGACCCAATTGCGAAAAAAAACTTGAGGCGTTCGGTAGGAATGGAGCCTGCATAGTAGATAAGAGCTCTACGCAAAGCCAATGCTCTAACCACTTGAGCTACAAATGCCACACCTCGCGCTTTCTCTACTATGCGGGTTCAAATACCCCCGAACGCTGCGAGTTTTTCACAATTTGGTCGGCAGTGGTCTCTGCCGTCCGACGCCCTCCATTGCTTTGTCCGGCGTCATTGTTCAAGGTCAGCTGCCTCAAGGTCACCCAATACCTCAGTCAGCGCTACAGACGCGCTGACCTGCAAAGACTTGATATGCTTCCACTCGGATACACACACGTACTTCTAGGCTCTCGCGGCTGCCCAAGCACCACTCGAACATGTCCTTTTTTGCCCATCCTCCTATTGGTGGATTCCACACAAGCGGCAAAGTTGGGCGGGTAAAATCGACCCAAGTGTGATTAAATTCATGGCGCGAGGCGTGGTGTTTGTAGTTCAACTGGTTAGAGCGTTGGCTTCGTGTAAAGACCTTTTCTACCGTGCAGATTCAAACCCCGCCGAACGCCGCGAGTTTTTCCACAATTGGGTCAACTAAAATTGTCTCAGTCGTCAGGATGCCGAAGGGCAGGGGATTCTAACGCAAGTGTTTTATTTTAAAGAGAGAACGAGAACTGAAGCATGTGCGAGGTCAAGCCTCGGGTGATCAGAACGCCAGAGAAAGGAAGCATTAGAACAGTTGTCCGTGACTTTGGCGCAGCGGGCCTTCGAGAAGGAATGGGACAAAATTGTTGGATGTCTGCCACAGTGCTTGGAAGCACGTCAGATTTTTTGACTCTATTTTAATAACAGCGTCGGGTGGATGATCGGAAATAGAGTGCGGTAGATGCAACGCAACACTAGTACCACTTAAAATTAATCCACACCTAAGTCACCGTCTCTGTACTCCCGCACTGTAGGGCACACAGTAAACATCGACGGAATCGATGTTTAAACTGCTTTTTTACAGAAAAATTTAACTCCATCAAAGATGCCTTGGGTTGAAAACTGTTTTATCACGTGGTTCTGGTGAACAGAAAAACAAGCAGTGTAAGTGACCAGCAGACTGCCGACACTTAGGCTATGCACAAACAAAAGATATGACGTGGAACTGTTAAGCGCACTGAAATCTATATATATGCGAGCAGGATAGTTTCCTATTGCTGGGTGACATCAACGCTCCTGACAAAGAGTGGAGAAATCCTGGAGGAAAGGCCACAGCAGCACCATTTGACTATTAACTAACATGGTTTTCCCTAGACGAATAAAGTCCAGATTCAGGCTGCCAGAAGGCCGACGATCAAACAACCTCATTTTTAGTAAAGATGAAGCAGTCCAAGGGTGAGTTAACTCACACACGTCACTTGAGTTAAGTGACCATGTTACTTTTACCTGGATCTGTTCTCTCCTATCTCCACTGCTGCCAACAAAGAAGCCCAGAAGTACTTGACGATAAAAACTATCATCAAGAAGAAACAGAGGCAGTGGAAAAAGTTCCTGAAGCTCCAATATCTCACATCGCTTGCCGAATATAACGCACAACGAACTGAATGCCGTAAGTAAATAAAGATTGTGAGAACTGCAACACAAATCAAAATATGTTTTAGGAAGTCAAAGAAAGCCCCGAAACGACATTGCAACTCTAAAGGATAGTTTCGAGAACGTGTTAACGGAAGGATCGTAGAAAATACAGTTACTGTCAGAAATTTTCTTCGATTGGAGTTTACGATGGAATCCCCTGATCACAATCCGGAAGTTTCAATGGGCGAATATGCTGCTCTTATTGAAACTGTAACCTGTTCTGTCGCAGAAATAAGACACTACGTCCGCTAAATCAAGCTAGACAAGTCTCCTGAGCCGGGTGGGCTCCCTGAGCTGATACTTAAGGAAATATGCACCGAGTTATCGTTGGCTCTTTCATCCCTGTTCAAGCTATCAATGAGAACAGGGAATTTGCTTCGTAGTGGAAGACGGCCAACATGGTTCCCTCATATAAGGGAGAAAGCAAGATGGCAGCAAACAGCTTTTGGCTCATAAGTTTGGCTCACCTTTCCTGCGACAAATGGGAGCACTTTTACTGCGTGCTGTATTAAGATTTGGGATGAACGTGACGTATTACAGACTTTTCGGCGTGGCTTTCGACGACAGTGCTTCTGTCTTTCAAATTTTCTGACTTCTCTTTAGGTCTGAACCAGTGCCTTAGAAGAGGCCTTCAATTTCCGCAAAGCCTTTGACATCTTGCCCCACCAGCGCCACTCACATAAACTGAGCGTACCAGGGAGAAACTTCCGAACTAGATCAGGACCTTTTAGTCAGTCGAAAACGCGTTTTTATCGGGAGAATAAAGCGGACTGGCCGAACGTGGTTGGTTGTGTTCTCCAAATATCCTTCTGGACCCTTACTGACAGGCCTCAGGAACTGAAGTGCGATAGAATCCTATTTCTCGATGACTTTAAGCTCTGACAAGCCATTAAGAGGTCGAGCGACCGATAAGCTCTACAGAATAATCTGTGCAGACTGCAAACCCCGTCCGATAGATGGCTCCTGAATTTAAATATGCAGGAGTGTGCGTCCC